TAATTTTTATATATTATTATAGATTATATCTAGAATAATATATTATATTATATTATATTATATTATATTATATTATATTACATTATATTATATTATATTATATTATATTATATTATATATTAATATCTAATTAATATATTCTAGATATTAATATTCTAGATTAATTATATATTCTAGATTAATATCTAGATTATATAACTAGATATATATTCTAGATATATAATATACATTATATTCGATATATATTCTAGATATAATATATTATATTTGATATATTCTAGATTAATATCTAGATTATATAACTAGATATATAATATATTATATATATAGTTATATATTCATCTAGAATATATAACTAGATATATATTCTAGATATATAATGTATATTATATTATATATTATATATTCTAGATTAATATCTAGTTAATATCTATTAAATACCCTCACTGGGAGTTTTTCTGTGTGCTGTTTGAGCTGAGAAATGCCCTGTGCAAAGCCCCTCAGTGCTATCCCACCTTGCTGGCTTAGCAGTAAAAGGCAGGTCAGTTCAGAAAGCACAGCAGCTCCTCCACTGGACTCAGCAGAATGGAGTGAGAACAGTAAATAACCACCAAAATCCTTATTTCTTTTTTTAATGAAATGTTGACATGTTTGGACATTGAATGAAATTAATCTGCAAACACTCCCGATATTTACCAGCAGCAGAAACAACCTTTCCCACACGACTAAGAAAATACCATAAACAGGGAATGACTCACAGTCCCCTTCCTCTTGTTCATTGGCCTGACCTCAAGCAAGTGTGAAATGTTTTTAAAAAACAGCCCAGTGAAGACTAGGAGCATGCAACACACTCCTGGGCAAGTTAACACGTCAGAAAATAAGATTTAAAAGTCCCTTTACTATAAAGAGCCAGTCAGCATTCCCTACAGGAAAAACATGGACACCCCTCCATCTACTCTGAGCTACTTGCTTGTCTTATCTATGGAGAACATCAGGAAACACCTATGGAGCTTCATCAGAAGGGTTTCAGTGTGTATGAATTCAGATCATTCTCTGGCTGTATGGATAGAGTTATTTACTGTCAGCTAATTATTCACCATCAGCTCAGATCCAGGAATGCAGTGGCAGAGGGTAACTCATGGCTGGAGGGTCTGTGCCAAGCACATCCATGAAAACCTCAAATCCTGCCAAAGAAGCACCTTCCTGAGTGCCCCTGGCAGCCCATTTCCAGCCCTTGCTGCAGATCCCTGATGATTTGACTAAAATGAGGCAGAACTGGGGCTTTTCACTGCTCCTTCACAGGGCACCCGAGGTGTCTGCACGCATTTTGCTCTCTTGGGGTGATCAGAACATTGAAAGAGCAACATGATCCGTCTGAGACTACTGATCTTGCAAAATGCTGGACTGGGAACTGTGGAGAGCGACCACAGGAGATGGAGGGTGCCTTTTCCTGTGTCCTCATCCTTCTCCTGTGTCCTCATCCTTTTCCTCTGTCCTCATCCTTTTCCTGCGTCCTTATCCTTTTCCTATGTCCTCATCCTTTTCCTATGTCCTTATACCTTTCCTATGTCCACATCCTTTTCCTGTGTCCTCATCCTTTTCCTATGTCCTCATCCTTTTCCCGTGTCCTCATCCTTTTCTTGTGTCCTCATCCTTTTCTTGTGTCCTCATCCTTTTCCTATGTCTTCATCCTTTTTCCATGTCCACATCCTTTTCCTATGTCCTCATCCTTTTCCTATGTCCTCATCCTTTTCCTATGTCCTCACCCTTTTCCATGTCCTCATCCTTTTCCTATGTCCTTATCCTTTTCCTATGTCCTTATCCTTCGCCTATCTGTTCATCCTTTTCCTGCGTCCTCATCCTTTTCCTGTGTCCTCATCCTTCTCCTGTGTCCTTTTCCCTTTCCACAGAGCTGGATCTAGGGAAGGACTGGTGCCCCATGTGCTCACAGCCCTTGGGCAGTGAGGAGAGCAGCCCCTGCACTCCCAGATGCACCAATTCTGGTGCTTTTTGGGCAGTTTCAGGAGCTGCCATCCATCGGGAGCTGTGGCCTGTGGGAGGTGGCTCTGGCAATTCAGCAGCTGGCACAGAGCACTCTGTGAGTTGTTCAATCACAGCTCCAGCTGGGAGAAGCAGCCCTGGCGCTGGAGGTGTCCTTATTGTTTGTGAAATCATTGTTAATTAAGGTGAGATCTCGCTGTGCTGGTGCTCAGCCAGCACAGGGGGAAATGGACCTTTCCCTGACAAGTTTATCACTCAAGCAGCCTCCACGAGCAAGCAGAAAGGGTGATTCAAAATGTAAAAGGTTTGGTTTATTGTTTCTGAAAACTTTATTTCCACGGGCCCCCCACTGCAGTGCCTCTGATTAGCTGATCAATCTCATGAGCAGCACAAGCATGAGCAATGTGCCTTTCCCTCTGCTTTACCCAAACCATGGTGACACTGGCTGAGAGATGTTCCAGCAACACCAGATCAGCTTTCAACAGCTGCCATTCCAACCTGTGCCCTTCCTCTTCTTCTTCTCCCAGGGAAAATGGCTCTGGGTCACTGGTTGGAGTCAGCCCAAACCCTCAGATTCCCTCCCTCCATTTCTGGTGCTTTACTTTTTTTCTTTCTTGACAGATTATGTTCAGTTTGACCTCATTTTTGCCCTGGCCATTCTGTAATCCTGATTCATGGTGGGCAATGTAACCTTGTTTTCAACCTGAACTCAAGCAGTGGTCCTGGGGGTGACACGCTGTGGAAATTAATTGTTAACTCTGCATGTCACTGGGCAGTATGGCATGCACCCAGCTAAAGGAGCATGAAACACCTGTAAAACCAGAAATAAAACTTCTCATCTGATGTTTGAAACCTAATCGCTCTGTAGTCCATGGTGAAAGTGTCCCAGGGCACTGAGCCCCTCACACAGAGATAACTAATGCCTCTGAGCCCAACAGCCAGAAACTGAATGCTCATCCTGCCAGGATCTCTCTTCGAGGAGATTCTTGCCCTTTGTGTTCAATTTTTTGTTGAAGTCCAAGGAAATATGGTTGATCTCAGAGATCAGGAGAAATTTGAGTTGTCTCCTGAAGCAGCAGCAGCACCAGACCCAAACAGGTTTTCCCCTCCATGCTCCTGGTCCCCTGCTTTGTCTTCACACACTGCAATGCTGCACACAAACCCAAAAGAAGACTGGAGCATTTACCCACGAGTGTGTGCACCTGTACAGACAGAATTCACCCAGAGAGGCAAACACTGCCCAGGGGAGGAAGCTGGAGTAGAAATGGTGCATGACAAGTGCTGCTCCCAGTGTTTGCTGCATCCTCCATCACCACTTGGACCCCACGGCAGTGGATCAGCTCTATCAATCACACACATTCCTGTAGTCATGACCAAAATTAGTAAAACCACTTTTGCTTAAAAGAAATCCAGGCCTGGGCTGCTCTTTATAAACATTCTTAGGCACAAATTACGTTCTTGACTGAAAATTTGGCTCTACCACATTTTGCTCCCGACTTCAATGGGAGGCAGCACTGCGTGTGCTCTGGAAGGCAGAGCTTTCAAGGTTAATTGACATCCAATTAATGCAGCTCAGCATCCATATCTAGTGATCAACGCAGCACAGGAATAGTAAAGTTTTATTTGCAATTTCAGCTGCAAGGCTCAAAGCTATCAAATACAACAAATTATGTTTAGTATCTCAGTGTAACTACCCAATAATCAGAAATTCCCAGGCAAAGCCTGTCAGTGACAGCATTTTCCACTGTGTGGGCTGTGTACACTGTGATGATGCACTTTGGTTTGGTGCTGTTGTTGCTTCTCACCCCTTTTTCTCTTTTCCAAGCTGTTTGGCTATGAGATACCTACAAATACAGAGCTTTTTATTAACTCTATTGGATTTCTTCACTTACAAATGAGATCATGGCTGTGCCATAAATACACAGAGACTACAAAGGAAGAAACAGAATACTATTAACACTTTTCATCCTGCTCCTGAATCTCATCCTGGAGCGTGGAGAGGTGTCTTGTTGCATTGTCAGAAACACCTCAGCTCTGAGAGCCTGGCTGCCTCCAAGGGAAGGAGCACATCTCATAACTCAGGTGTGGTGCGAGAGATCCTGAGAAATCCAGACTGATTTGACAAGCACAGGTAAAAAATCAGCCATTGCTCTGATCATTGTGTCACAGAGGTAAATCAGACTGTGGCATTTACACGCCCAGCACAAGTAATGCAGACAGAGGCACTGTTCCACCAACCTACAACCTGCAGATGACAAACCTTATTATGTTATGGCTGTAAAACTGACACCAATGGCACACAATTACTGAACATTCCTGTTAACAGCTTCCAAATGTGGACTCACACACCTAGCCCTTTCTTAAACCATTGGAATAATCTAGCCCTATATCAATTTTAGCCTCTTTTAGCATAGCCTCGGGATTATATTTGGCATCTCGATCTGGCACACACAATAACTGCCAGCAACAGTAACCATTTCTGCATTGAGGTCACCGAGAAGTCTGGAGAGCCCAGGACACTGCCCGGCTCAAAAAGTCCAGGGAAACGGGGAAAAAAAATAACCCAGAAATTGTCGGAGCTTTCTTTCAGCTGCATTTGAGATTTTCGCTCGGATCTCAGCACAGCTTGCCCTCTGCTAACCCCTCCTTATCTTCCCCTCCTCCCCACACACACACACACACAGAGAACCACCAGAATCGATTTAACAAAAGCCTCTGCCCGTGCAAGGAACGAGGATCCCGTCCCATCGGGAATGCGCCAGGCAGCGCTGGCTGTCTCGGGGAAAGGCACAAACCCCGAGCAGCATCCCCGGCGCACAGAGCGCCTCGCTAGGAACGGGATGCGGCAGACAAAGAGCAGGCGGTACCGGGCACCGGCCACGCTTCGCCTTCTCCCGCATCCCGCCGGCACGGGCTGGGCTGGCTCCCGGTGCGGGCGATGCTGCTCGGAGCATCTCCCGCGCATCTCCCGCGCCGCCGCTGCCGCTGCTGCTGCTTACCGGGCTGGGCGCGGGCGCTCGGCGGTCCGGCCGCGCTCAGGGCCAGGAGCAGCAGCACGGCCGGGCCCGCTCCTCCTCCTCCTCCTCCTCCTCCTCCTCCTCCTCCTCCTGCTGCTGCTGCTGCTGCTGCTCGTCCCGCGGGCCGGGCGCTGCGCGGGGGCGCTGGGCCGGGCGCTGCCGCCCGCCGCATCCCCGCGCCTGGCACGGCCGCGCTCAGCGGGCAGCGCTGCCCATGGCCGGCCGGGCTCTGGAGCGGCGGCTCCGCAGGCGGGCGGCGGCCGAGGGGGCGGAGCGGGGGCCCCGCATGCCGCCCGGGGGCTCTGCCCGCCCAGCGCCGCCCGGCCCGGCTGCTGGGGCTCCGAGCTGCACCCGCCCAGCCAGACAGACACCCACAAAGGGCTCCAGCGCCGGCCCCGCTCCCCGCCCTCCGAGCGTGGGGAGGCGGGAGAGGGGGCGGCGCTGCCGGGGCCGCCCGCAGGGAACCCTCGGCAGCCGCCGGGAGCGGGGAGCGGCTCCCGGGGATGGGGCACTGCGTCCTGGGTATGGGGCACTGGGTACCGGGATGGGGCACTGGGTCCCGGGGATGGGCCACAGGGTCCTGGCCCGTGCCCGGGTCACAGCGGTTCTCGGGATGTGTCACTCGGTCCCGGGGATGTGTCACTCGGTCCCGGGATGGGGCACTGGGTCCCGGGGATGGGCCACAGGGTCCTGGCCCGTGCCCGGGTCACAGCGGTTCTCGGGATGTGTCACTCGGTCCCGGGGATGTGTCACTGGGTCGTGGGGATGTGTCACTCGGTCCCGAGATGGGGCACTGGGTCCTGGCCCGTGCCCGGCCGATACCGGCTCCCGGGGATGGGTCACTCGGTCCTGGGGATGTGTCTCTGGGTCCCGGGGATGTGTCACTCCGTCCCGGCCCGTGCTCGTCCCTCGGGGATGTGTCACTGGGTCCTGACCCGTGCCCGGCTGACAGTGGCTCTCGGGGATGTGTCACCCGGTCCCGGGGATGTGTCACTCGTTATCCCGGCCCGTGCCCGGCCGACAGCGGCTCTCAGGGATCTGCCACCTCCCCGTGTGCCCCGCACCACCTTTGGGCGCAAGCGGGGCTGCTGCGACACGGCCAGGCTGGAAGTGACTCTGTGCTCGCTGATGTCCCGAGCTGGGAGTGGCCGGGCCGGGCCATCTCCAAAGATGTCCCTCGTTATCGCAGGCACAGCAGCCACCACCTCCTCCCGGCAAAGCAGCCCGAGCATCCCTGGCAGCATTTCTGCGAGTGCAGAGGCAGCTCTGGGGATAAAGGAGCTCGAGGGTAGCGCAGGAGGCCAAAGCGGCAGCAGCGTGCTCAGCCAGCCGCTGTGCACAAACACAGGAGACGTTTTCTCTGGTCGCTCCATCGCTCCCTGCCTGGCCGGGATGGGGTTCAGACACCCGGGCTCGCAGGGAATCTCCAGGACAGAGAGGATCCCCACTGTTTCGCTTTGGGGCACAACACGAAGCGCACGGGATGTGCTCTGGACAGCAGAGGGCTCAGCCCGGCTGCTGCCTCGGGCACGGTCACACCTTGGGGCACTCCATTTGGCGTTTTCTCCAAGTCCTGTTTGCAGCAGGAGCAGCGGGAATTCCTTATCCTGGCGTCGTCTCTTTGCTGAACTGCGTCCATGAGCTCTTTCACGGTCCCAGGCCGTGCCTGCGGGGGACGGTGGGAGGAGGAGCAGCGCAAGGGCGGCTTTGGGGCACAGCTCCAGGGGCCCCAGAGCCGGTCCTGACAGGCTGCAGCATCGCTTACACGCAGGAAAGCCGCCCCAGCCTCCCAGAAACTCTGCTCTGCTGGAAGTTGTCGTGCTGAGAAATTCTTAGAAGTCAGGTTTGAGGGCGAGCAAACCTCAGCATGGGCCGGCCACAGCTTGACACCCGGGTACCCAGGCGCTGGCAGCATCCACACACAGCCCTGAGAACCCATCATTACACATTTATCTGACTGGTGTCACCAAAGCAATTATGTTGTCCCATTTCCACCGCTTTGCTTTCCCCCCCCCCAAATCACTAATTCATTCCGTGCAAAATTAGCTTCCCCTTGATGAGTGCCAGCGATTATCCGGAGCAAAGATGGCAGTTTGTGATTATTATTATTATAGTGAAATGGAGCTTGCTCATCACTCTGCTCAATCCAGGGCCAGCACGTTTAGTGCGGGGCCCTCTGCTGGCACAAACCTCATTTCATCGTTTTCCTATTTTTCTAGGTTTTGACAGAACTCGACTTTGTAATAGAGCCATCAATAAGTTAATTTTCACAGTACTTTTTTCAGTCTAGCTCTCAAGCATTATAGTTTTCTCTTAATTTTCCATTACAGGGTGTGTGTGCATGTATTATGTAGAAAATACAAGTAGCAGATTGAGTTGTTATTTCAAAGGATTTTAAAAATGTGTATTTTCCAGAATGAGGAATGGATCTTATACAGCTAGTGAAAAATCGAAACTGGGGTTTCACTTCCTAAATTTAACTTTTCTAATCCTCCTTGGGTTGTTTTTTGGTTTTTTTTTCCAGATGCAAAATTGCCTTGCTTGCACTAGACCTACTGCAAGCATCCCAGATCTTGCTTCTTCTTATGAGGGATCCCATAAAATGAGGATTTCATTCATGGATGAGAAGTGACCGTGGCCAGGCAGTGACACTTGAAAATGAAAATGAAAAAATGAAAACTCAAGCACAGAATGGAGTCCAGCCTCCAGGCACCTCTGCCAACAGGCTGTAGATTCTCCCAACCTGCCATTTCAGAGTCTGAAAAGAATCCATCCAAATGCGTACTTCATCCCCTCAGCATAAAGCTTTATTATTCTAACAAAACATACTCAGTGCTGTTCCCCACGACAAGGGCAGGTAGAATTATCTGAACCTGCTTAGAGCACAAACCCACCCCTCCCGAGAGAGAAAATGCAACTTCCTTCCTACAGGTGGGAGGCAGGAAGACCTAATTAACATTAATCACCCTCCAACCTTCCCCATGACTTAATGAGCCTTCCTGCACAGCAGGGCAGGAGAGGCAGGAGGGGCTGCAGCCTTTTCCTGGCGCTCCCAGAGCTCTGCCCTGCTCACACAGCACCTGATGAACCTTTCCCTCTCCAGTGGGGAGCAGCACTGCCCACAGCCCTCCCAAAACTTCCACTTGTGCTGCCTCAGCCCCCTGCAGGAGCTTGGCAGGGTGCATGAGCTGCAGGGCTGAGTGTGACTCCACCTGCCCAGCTGAAAAGCCAGGCTCATTCACTGAACCCCTCAGTCCTGCATGTGACAGCCCCGTTGACTCTGGAAGGTTTTCCTTGAATGAATTTGCCATCTTCGCTGCAGTACAAACATGTACTTTGCATTTAGTGACAGGGAAAATACCCAGTTTCAAAGCAGTGTTTGTCCTGAAGACAGTTAAAGAGGAAGGTGACCTACACATAACTCCCTGTGCACAGGATGGGAAAGAACACGGGGGATAGTTGGACATCATTACTAACAGAAAGCAAGAACAGAAAGGACTTCACAGACAGAGAATTCACTTTGAAAGGCTCAGGCTGCCTTTCCTTCTTTGTTAGATGTTGCCAGAAGGGAGAGCGCAAAACGCACCGAGCCAGAGGCCCTGTCTGCTATGGGAAAAGTGGGATCTAGACACCAACATGCATTTAAAAGTCAACAGTACACGAGGCTAGCTGTAAAGAAGGGAAAGGAAGCAGGTTTTGAAGCCACAGGTGTCTGCAGAATTTGGACAGAGCTGTTTACACATCACCTGAGGCACAGAGCTGCAGGAAAAGCTTTGCAGACACTGTGACCAACTGCACTGAAGCACAGTGACAGATCCACATCAGCACGATCTGATCCTCATCAGATCTCATCTGATCGTTACATTTAGCACTTCAAAGCTTTCTGTCAACTCTGAACTATTCTGACATCAAAAATACACTGCACTGTCATTTCAGCCTTTCACATTTCGTTTCTGACTGACCCTAAAACACACCGCTGTGACGCTGTTCACAGGGGCTCTTAGATGAAGTAAGAGATGAAGATCTGACTCCATGTTTCAGAAAGTTTAATTTGTTATTTTATGAGGAATATTACGTTAAGACTATACTAAAAGAATAGAAGAAAAGGTTTCATCAGAAGGCTAGCTAAGAATAGAAAAGAATGATAACAAAGCTGTCTCGGATAGAGAGTCTGAGCCAGCTGCGCTGTGATTGACCATTAATTAGAAACATCCAAAATGAGCCAATCACAGATGCACCTGTTGCATCCCACAGCAGCAGATAATCAATGTTTACATTTTGTAAATTTACATTTTGTCCCTGAGGCCTCTCAGCTTCTCAGGAGGAAAAATCCTAAGGAAAGGATTTTTCATAAAAAGTTATCTGCAAGACAGTGCCAGGCACAGAAACCCCCACCCAACCACGGGGTTTAGGAAGCACTGCACCCCCAGGGCAGAGTGAGCACATTTGGCTGACAACAGCAGGGCCAAATGTGCCTTCCATGGATGTCTGGTCCGTAGCAGGTGGCCATCTGGAGGCACTGGCCGTGCAGGGCCATCTGTGGCAGCAGCAGCAGCTGCCACCAGCTCGGCACAAAGCTCAGCAGCAGCGAGGTGTCTGCTGCTATCTGGGCCACATCACCTTCCTCCGAGCCTGTGAAAGTGGGACATCCAGAACAAAGAGCCTTCGAGGTGTGGCTGCACTGAATATGGCTTCTCAAGACCCTCTGAAGCAAGCTAATAAAATTTAAAATTTCAAAAAGAAGCTCAGTTGAATGATCACGTCAGAATTTTAGAGCCCTCTCGATGAATTTTCATCATCTTTGCCTTCGTGTAACACAGCAACAAAATAAAAGCCACCACAAGTCATCTGCTGCAATATATATTTTAATTCAAAGTGAATCTTGACAGTAATACACCATAAATTCTTATTTTGACACTCACCAAAATAGTCACCTGGAAAACCCGCTTTTTGTGACAAAGTACAGAAGGCTTGGTCACATTTAAATCACTGAGAACTAGAAAGAAATACTATCGCAAACTGTAAGAGACATTACATCCATAAAAAATTTTCCCAGTCCTCATATTGTAATATTGCACAGTGCAATTGCTACATGGCCAACTAGTGTAGCAGAGAAATCCAAAGCAAAAAAAAAAGCCACAAGTCTACAAATTGTTAAACAGTAACAGTTCAACCTCATTAATCAAGTCTCTATCACTGGGTGTTTCTAGAACAAGTCTTCCTACAGCTTGCAGTGTGATTTAACTTTTACTTAACACAAACCACGTTAATTAGCAGTAAAAACAGAAAATTTAAAAATTAAAACAAAACAAAAAAAAGAGGAGTTAATACAGTAGCATATTTGACCAATAAAACACCCTGAAGTTAAAAACTGAACACAAGAAATTCATCATATAAAACCTTGCAAATTAAAGTAATATGCAGATATGCAATTCCATAGTCATGCAGTGTTTTATTTAAAAAAGGCATTAAAATGGTATTGTGTAAAAACGCTTCTCAGAGGATGACTTTTTTCACAGAAAAGGCCCTCACCCTGAAAGCTTTTTTTTTTTCTGCAGATGGGCCCCAGACACTTGCAGTGACAAGAGTCTGTTCTCTCAGAGTACATTGTGGGAGCAGGGGGGAAAGTCACCTGGGGTGTTGAATTTAAGCGGCGACAGGATCCCAAATATTTCATTCTTTGAAATGCAGACATTTCTAAGATTACAACACAAAGAAAGAGCAGCAGATCTAATTTGGGCGAGCATTTCCAGCAACCCTTCCCTGCACAGGGCAGGACACTGTGGGGGTGATACACAGAGAACCGTGTCAATTCAACACGCACGTCAGCTCCAAACCTCAAGCACAGTAAAAAGAAAGGACAGAAAATACATCAGACCCATGATGATCCCCGTGGCCCCAGGAAAAAAAAAAAAAAGGCAAAAAAAAAAAAAAAAAGCAGGGTTTTTTTTGTTGTTTGTCTGGTTTTTGTTACCAGGATACAAAAATCAATGTGCTCTGCTTGCATTGGTGGTTCTTGGTGTGTCCATTGCCTGCAATGGAGTGAGCACCAAAAAAAGGGAGTGAACAGAAAAACAGCACGAGTTTGAAGTGGTAAAGGTGGACATCCAATTTGACTCCCCATGTTTAGGCTTTACACATGTGTTGGTAAGATTTCAAATTCATCATGATACTCCTAAGTTGCTAATGTATACTTTATATACACACACACTTGTACAAAATGCATAGAGTTGATTACTAAAAACATTGAAAGTTTTGGGAAAAATTACGTTTCTTAATTTTCAGTGTGATTAAAAATGTACTGCTGGTATTTTCTCTTTTTTTTTTTTTGTTCTAATACTGTTGTATTTTAGTTATTACTTAAAAAATAAATCAAATGTAGGCACATTTATTTCATTCAGACATTCATTAAATAAAACACTGCTTGTGTTAGTGGAGTAAAGAAAAAGATTACCAGTTATTAGCTTATTGACAGAGTTAAACTCAAATGCTTTGCACTCTTATTCCAGTCAACATTGCAAGGATTGTATTCCAGATTTTGTTTTAAAAAAAGTTAAGTCAAGCCTGCAAGATGCAGCTTCTTAAGTGTCTACACAATGCCAATATGAAAACATAAAAAAATTAAGTTACATTAATACATCCACTTATATGCAGTGATGAGCTCAAAGTTAATGGAGATAAAATACTGATGCAAATAACACACCCCAAAAAAACATATGCAATCATCTTCCATCATTTACAGTATAGTAGTTACGACACTTCAAACATGAAAACAAAACAAAAATTAAAAAAAAAAATAAAATAAACCAAACCCAAACCCCAGCTTCTATTTCATGTAATTAGACTTGTACAGAAATTAGAAGGCTAAGAAAGAACTAGTTAATCACCTAATTTCACAGCTATCTGAAGTGGCAATCATTATATAGCAGCTTATCTATGATACATTCAAGATAAATGATACAATTTATTACTTGCCCATAAGCTAAAACACAGCCTCAGCTTAATACCTTCCATAAATCCCATCTCTACACTACAGTATACTTGAGGTCTATGAAAAAGTAGCTACCTTTTATAGGAAATGGATGATTAAGTCTTTGGTGCTGCAAAAGCAACTTCATTTGAACAAAACAAAAAACGAAAAGACACACTTCCTAAGGAGAGGAAAAAAAAACAAAATAATAATAATAATAATGCAAAAAGCATGTAATTTACGTCCCTGACGGAATGTATTAAATAAGCAAACACCCACAACAGGCTAAAACAAATACTATTCATGTAAAAAGACTAAAATCTCTCCCATGCATAAATGAAAGATTGCACACAAAGAACTCACATCTTTTTCAAGCTTCAACAGTAAATATTCTGCTACTAGTTATTAAAAATACTGCATGGTTTGCTCAAGCTAAGATGAAACCACATCATGGATCAACGAGCACTTGGCTTCTCCTTTCATTAGCTAGTCAGTCATGCCTACCTCACCTCTAAACATTTTATTATGTCCAATTAGACAAACACTTTTAAAATAAACTACTTAGGTCGTATTGCAGTTCCATTTACCAGTATGAAATACTGTCTTGCATGTTTCTACTCAATAGCTACTGAATCAACTTTCCTTAAGCACTACTAAAGTCCTGTCTTGAAGCTAGATCATTCTGGGGGGGAAAAAAAAGACAGCAAAATTCAGCTAGAGCAAAACATGCTGCCTTCTCAATCAGGAAAATACACCCAATACTAAAATAATACCACACAAAACCCAAAATGAGCATTACGCTATCAAAAAATCAGCAGATCTGAATTTTTAAGTGCTGCAGTCCTCAACATTTATATATAAGTAATAACATTAACAACCTCAAATATTTAAGGCACTATGTGTGGGAACAGTTTACAATGCAGCTGAGATTATTAGGACAACAACATTTAAGAGCAATGTTTAGGCCTTTTCTTTGCCCATGCAAAAGACACATGCAATGTGAAGAACAACAGCTCAACTTTTAGATAAGTGACTCAACATTTAAACACCAAGATACGCAACACAAACGAGTTTACTTCCACACCTGTACTGCTGACACATGTGCATCTGTTGCTCTAGTTCTGTACACTGAATGGCTTCCCAAATGTAGACGTGTCTTGCACTAGTTAGAAGGCAATTTTATAAAAAATAGCAGGAGCAAAACCAGATTTCTGCTCCCATAAGTCACCTGTCTAAAGTTACTATATAAGAAGATAACATGACCAAAGACAAGTTATACCAAATGTGCAAAACACATTAAAAGTGAGTTTGTTTTTTGTTTTTCGTTTTTTTTTTTTTTTTTAAAGCTCAGAGTTGTTTAAATTGCACCCAAGTCTACATGATTCAAAAAAATAATTTTCCTGTTGTGCCATGGCTAAATACGTAACAAACACCACGTTTCTTCTCCAGCCAGAGCTCCTGAGCAGGGGCGAGCTCTCACATGAAGGGGTACTGGCCGAGCTTGCTGGGGCTCAGCGGGAAGGCGGCGTAGGCGGCGGGCGAGGCGGTCACGTAGGAGTGGGGCGGGAAGAGGGCTTTGTACTGAGTCTGCTGCAGGCCGGGCGAGGGCAGCAGGCGGGGGTCGATGCCCACGGGCACCTGGTGCACGATGCCGTTGCCAGGGCGGCGCAGCCCGTAGGGCGGGTGGTGCTGCAGCAGCGCGCGCGACGCGCAGGGCGAGGCCAGCAGGTGCGCCACGGGCGCCGGGGAGGCGTAGGGCAGCAAGGTGGGCTGCCCACCCAGGTGGGAGCTGCCTGGCAGGTGGCTGGGGCTGCCCTGGGGCAGGGAGAAGGCGTGGCTGGCCACGGTGCCCACCAGGAAAGGCTGCTGCTGCTGCTGCTGGGGCTGCTGCGGGCGGCGCGGGGCGAAGTTGCCGTTGTTCCACTCCTGCGGCCCCGAGGAGAAGTGCTGGACCTGGCCACACACACACACACAAACACACACAGAGAGAGAGAGAAACAGGCAGGGCTTAGAGATCCACGGAGCACAGAGAGGGGAAAAATGGAGGAGAATGCACTAAAACTAGTCAACTTAAAATCGGGAGGAATATAGAGACGGGGATTATTAATGCTTCGACAGAACAAAAAAAAAAGAGACATTAGCTATTTAGGCAGCAGCACAGACAATAAGAGATGGAAAACGGAACACAAGTTATTTTTAATGCTCTTGCAAAGGGCAAAAAAAAAAAAAAGGATAAAATGCCATGCTGGGCTGTTTTAACAGAAATACCATGTATCACATGAGCAAGGTGCTTATTCCACTCTACTCAGCACTGGCTTGGCATCAATTGGAAGTGCTGCATTCAGTTTGGGCACCATAATGAGGCACAAAGAGGACAAATAGGAGAGAAATTTTAGAGGAGAGCAGGAAAAATAATAAACGGATTGAAAAATATCTGAGACAACTAGGCAAACAGAAGTCTAGGTCTATGATCACAGGAAGATGTGGCAATCATTAACAGTTATAAAGAGAAAAGACTAAAAATCAATTACTCCCATTAAATGATGCAGATTTCAAACTACACAGGGCATCTACCAAAGAAGGAAGGATCAGCATAAATTTTTGTAATGAAAATAACGTTCTACACTTTCTGCCAAGAGGCTGAGGAGCTGCAGACACTGAAGAGATTAAAAATTAATACCATGCTGATCATATTAAGGTTTGCTTAGAATTAATTAAACCAATCCTTTTGCATAATCATGCAGAAGGGGAGACTGTGTCACCCACCCAAATGTTTCTTTCAATCTAAACTATTCAACTCATTATTGCTAAATCCTCTTATCTACATATAGCATGCTTTCATTTAGCATTTAACTGACAATATTCACAGTTTCTCTGTAAGACTTACACAAACAGGTACTGCTCTAACATTAATGCACCTCCAGCTATCTAATCAAAAGCTCAATGCAGCCACAGCTCCAAGATAACTAATTAAAAGGGGCTTAAGCTTGATGTCACATGTCAGCTTCAGTCCTCAGCCACAGCAGAAACATTTGCTGCGTTGTTGGGCAATGATAAAAGTAACTTTTAAATAAGGTTTAGGTATCTCCTAACATTGGATGGAACTACAATCACAGTCTCATCTCCCCTCCAGCTTCATTACCTGGCAGCAAAGGTAAGAAATAGTTGGGTTTGCTGAGCTATATCTCACCTCTGGACACTCAAACTAAAAGATTTTCATGCACACTACTGACAGAACAACACTGCCATACAGCTGCAGATTTTAACTGCACACTATAAGTATTTTAGCATTTGGATGTAGGAATAACAAATGCTAACATATTTTTCTTTTTGTCTGGCGTTTTGATATAGTGCAAGCACTGACAATTTTCCCAGTGTGGCTTTTCTGTCATTTTTTTTTAAATAGAGTCAGCTGTGTTAAGATAATTACCCAAAATAAAAGATACTTATAACTTGCCAACAGTAAGTTGAAATCCACTTTTCAAGATTTGAACACTTCTTTACCCAAGCTGCTGAAAACCTGCAGCTGCCACAGACAGCGAGTGAAACTGTGAGCGCTCAGTTTGGAACTCAGCTTGTGGGGTGTCTGGGGCTTGCTGGGTGTGAGTGCACATACCTGACTGAAGTTGCCATGGTGCTGATGGAATGCTGATGCCAGTTTCTGCTGACGGCTCCCCACCGCACAAGACTGGTTTATTCTCCCCAGGACAGACCGACCCTTCCTCAGTGGCTGGCACGGAGCATCTTCCAAGGGAAGAAATAAACAATGTTATGCTTTTGTTTGCAATATTCTCTTCTGGCAACAGTTAGACAAGGCTTCATTGGCTTAGGCATGCAGGGAGAAATAATAATACAATACACCAATTAAAGTCAAACCCCAGCACTGTTTAGGGGTGGTTACTACAGATTAGCAGTTGTATGAGTAGACCAAAATCTTCATTCATATATACATATATATATATATATGTATATATATATGTATATAATAAATAAATACTGAAACTTCTATTCTTATCTACTGGCATAGAAAAACACCTGAACTAACTCACCTGTATTCACCATCTGTTCCTCAAGATGTAACCTGTTTTCAAGTCTCATGGGTGGTACCACTACTGTGCAAACAGTTGATTTGGTTTCAGGGTTAACTGAGGCTCTTGCTTCCTTATTTTTATTGTTATTGTCTACAAAGCCATTTTCCACAAAGGGGCTGTCGTGTCCTGAGGAGTCTGAGCTTGGGGAACCATCCACTGTATCACATCCACTTTCCTGTTCATCATCTGACATGCTGTCAAAAAATAAAAGTATTGCAATGAAGCGGAGAGATTTTCATGATAGAGGTACATTTCCTTAAATTAACACATTAAATTTCTAGTTAAATTACTATAATTTAAAGTTAAATTATATACAGAAATTGCTCAAAGGTGGATAAAAATGATGCACTGTAATTACACACGCACATATATTCAAACTCATCCTACCCATATTTTGCAAGGCTCAAAGAAAAGAGATAACTTCTTTATATTAAAAATTGATGGAATACATGATTAACTTTAAGCATACAAGAAACAGCAGTGAATTCACTAATGCCTAAATGCAAAGCCAAGTCCTTTAGTGATTTTACAGCTCATGCAACATGTCCTTATTGCATGCTGTTTAAAACAGGACATCACAAATAAAACCACTTGTGAAAATTAATCTTTTGTGAAAAGTGCTTTGACACTATAAGGACCAGCACAAAAGCCTGAAGATTCAACCAACAGAATCAGGTAATTCTGAGTAGTTTCTTCAAGTAACAAACAGTGATAATTTGACAACTACTGAGCAATTAATTGTACTTCTATATCATTCACTTTTGATTAGAGTTGCTAATTATATTACTTTGTAGAATGCCACTGAAACCAGAATCCAACACACTCCTCTGCTATTGACAAAGGTGAATTAGCAAGGGGAAGTAAATTACAAGTCAGCTCCTTACAATTCAAAGAAAATACCCTAAAATCAAGTAGGTCTTTATAAAAACTTACCCGAATTTTCGAATGTTTTAATATTAAAGAATATCAAAGGACTGACAGAGTTAACTACCAAACCAGTATGACTACCTGATACAGACTCAGAGTTCCACCTCCTTGTCAATACATGCTCTGATAGAATCTTTAATTACTCTAAACAAACTTTTTTCGTTAGGACCTTAATTAGAATTCATTTTGCGCCATGAAACTGCTGAAGGCTCAAGCTAGACACGAGGCAGTGAAGATAAAACATTTAAAAGCTGTTCACAGCACAGCAACACTGTTCACCTAAGTGAGCCTTACTTTTAGTAGAAGAAAAAAGGCATCAATTTCATTACAGATTACAAGTTACACAATGGGAAAACCAGAGGCTGTAAAAATTAAAAAATGCATGGTGACCAAATCTGTCACATACTACTCAGGCTTATTTAATCCTGGTACTCTAGAAGATTTTTATTCCCAAGGAAGCTGCATGCAACATGTTTACATTTCCTGTGTGAACACCATTCATTCAGTATTCCGAAAGCTTGCACTGCAGCAAGACAGATCTGTTAGGAACAAGAACAGAGCAGTCTGTGCTGTGCAACTGCAGGCCAGCAGATCAATTTTTAAACAGATCATTTACCCTCACCAGCTGGCAACATAACAAAACCTGTGCATTTGTTAGTATCAGCTGGGCCTGCTGTATACCAAGATATTTATTTCTGGTGCAAGGAGGCTGAGTTTTCACCTGTTGGATCTCTTGCAAGGAGAGGGGCTGGAGTGCTCGGAGGAGCTGGTGCTGAGCGTGCTGTCGGGGCTGCTCAGGGAGCACACACGGTCCATGTTCAGGGTGTTCTGGCAGGCTTCACACTCCAGGCTCCCCTCACACCTGCACACAGAAACACAGTCAGCAAACACACGTTCACCACTCACCTAGGTAAAACTGTGCAATAAAAAAGGGCCCATTGTCGCAGACATCTTTTTAGGAAAAAGCCTTTCCTTAGGATTTTTCCTCCTGAGAAGCCTCAGGAACAAAATGTAAACATTGATTATTTGCTGCTGTAGAATGCAACAAGTAGATCTGCGATTACTCTCATGTGGTTGTTTGTAATTAATGGCCAATCACAGCACAGCTGGCTTGGACAGAGAGAGTCCGAGACAGCTGACTTTGTTATCATTTTTTCTTATTTTATTCTTACCTTAGCTAGCATTCTAATGAAACTTTTTCTTCTATTCTTTTAGTATAGTTTTAATGTAATATATATTATAAAATAATAAATCAAGCCTTCTGAAACATGGAGTCAGATCCTCATCTCTTCCTTCAACCTGAGACCCCTGTGAACACCGTCACAGCCCATCCCTACAAAAGACCCCTGAAATGTAAATATCCAATTCCTTCCTCTTTCACATTCAAACCAGGTTTTAAACCTTTACAGTGTTCTGTTTTGAAACCTACTAAATGGGTAATTGTTTTTTACTGAATCAATATTAAAACAAGTAGATTAAAATGTTCTACTACAGCAGTTCAGAGCCTTGAAACTTTTGACAAAGTTGAGATTTAAAATACATGTTCCTCCAGCTCAGAATTATTACAAGTGAGGAGGAAGTCAAACAAACATTAAACTTTTACGCCTTGCATGCTTCTGTGATGGTTCCATGAAAGAAAACTTCACTGGAGGACAATACAGCCAAAAGTTCACCTTTTCACACTGTTAGAGAAGTATTTTCTACCCACAGGTATGTAATAGTATCTACTGGGTGCTACAGCTAGAATGGTAACATGAAGGATATACAGCAAAGATACTGTTCTTTAATAAATAAATAGGGCATGGCATTATGAAAAAAGCCCTAAGAAACTATGGTTTGAAAAGGCATAACACACACAGATTAATGTGGTAGATTTTTGACAGTGTTGTTCCCTTTCAGTAAGAGTGCTACAGAGTTAACTTTCTGCTGAAACTTGATTAGGAGCAAAATGCTTGTCCTTTTTTAATTCAGATTCATTAGCTGTGCTGATGCCTAGAGAGGCTACCTGGGAGAGACTAGACAGAGTTAAAGAATAAAGTAGGGATTTATTAATAGGCCTTCAAGGGATACACCTGGGGCAGCTCAAGAGCCTGGCCAGGGCTACCCCCAAGATGGACTCCAAGTCACAAGTTTTCACACTATTTATAAGTTTTGGTCCATTTCCATATTGGGGTTAATTGTCCAAGGTAATGAAGTCCCATTCTCCCAGTTTCCTCTCCTCAATTCACTGCTGTTTTACACATTTTAGACCTGAAGCTGCAATGGCGTCCTCGGGCTGGAAAAGGATTGTTTTGTCTAACTAGACTGTGAGGAGAACTTGCTAACACTTTATATGAAATTCAGAGTTTTATACTAAAGCAGTACAAAATCTGAATTGAATATGAAGTTCAGAATTACATACTAAAGCAATACAAAGCATCATTAGCACTGATGCCTTCAGGTTTAGATTTCATGAAAATCTAAAATATGAAATCTAAACCTGAAGGCATCAGTGCTAATGATGGTTTGAGCAGGCTGCCCTAGAGCAGAGGCTGGGCAGAGCTACAGAATAAAGCAGGGATTGATTCAAAGCATCTCCTCCATGGATCCACCTTGGGCAGCACCAGAGCCCAGCCAGGGCTGCACCCAAGATGACCCAAAATGGCCCCAAAATGCACGAGCGCTCCCGGGCTCTCTCCCTGGGATCAGTTCTGCTCCATTTGCACCTTGCAGTTCATTGTCCCATTCCAGCTTTAGCCCAGGCAGTCCCACCCTGCTTGTTTTTCTCTCTGCAGCCCACGGTGTTTGTGCTCTGGGGCTGAGATTGGGATCATTTGTCCTTGGTGCCCAGCTGGAGCAGGAATTGTTTTGTCTCCCTGCTCTGTGCACGGAGCTCACCATCCCTGAATGTGAAGCCCAGACCCACACACTGAAGCAGCATACAATGTGAAAACCAGAAAAGCTGAATGGCTGGGACACCACAGAATTTGGAAAACCAGCAAAGCTAAATGGCTGGGACAGCTGTATCTAAGCCAAGCCTGACAGAAGCCAAGGTGATGCTCACTCCCTCAGCGAGTGCGTCCGCGCCACGTCGTCCTCGTCGGTGTCGCTGCTGATGGTGATGACGCTGACGGGGCTGGGGGAGCTGCCCAGGAACAGCGCCTGCCGGGGGCTGCTGGGGACAGGGGGCTCAGGGGCCAGCCTCAGAGAGGCCTCGTGCCCCTCCGAGTTCAGATTGTCCTGTGCTTCTATACAGCTTATCCTCTTGACAGCCTTCAGGTTGAGGATCTTTGGAGAGATAAAGGCTGAGTTTTGGATGTTGGAGTTTTGTAGCATGTTGCTCCTGAGGAGGAATGAACAACAATTTGGCATTTAGTGAATCTCGGCCTGTGAAAACTGGGCTGTTTTCAACAAAACCAAAGCAGGCAACATAGGCTAAGTCACCAATTTAAAAAAATAGCAGGCAATGTAGGCTAAATCACCAATTTAGTAAAACACAGAAAACCACCAATTTAGAAAAACACAGTAAACACAGGCAAAAATACTTGGCATGGATGGTTTCAGACAAAAAGTATGTAATATCCAAGACATCAACATTGAATACAGTATACTGAAAACTCCACGTTCTTATGAAGGTAAAACCAGATGAAAATCCCATGTGGGTGAAAAACAAGTAAACAAAACCCAGCTGGATTTCCTGCAAGGATTCTCCTTGAAAACAAAAGCTGGTAGCCTCCAGATGAACCCCTTGCTTAATACAGGACTGCTGACACTGCCCACATAACCCACACACTTTCCCCCTCATGGAGCATGCCACACCTTTGCCATTACTTTGCACGGCACTTCAGCAAGCAGCTGAAGTATTTTTGGCTATCAGTGAAAGGTGACTGCAAGGCACACAGCAGCCCTGTTATACAGCCTCTCTTTATTTTTAGTTGTCTAAACCTGATATATCCTCCTTCATGTAAACATAGGAATATCTCATTAGAGCTACCTCAGGACATTCTTATACCTTCCCAAAGCCTGCAAAGACAACATTCTACCATGACAGGCACAAACTAACCAAAAAATAATGAAAACTAATTAGCATTGCAAGTATTGTTCCATCTAGTCTACCACCAAAATAGCTTAAAGAGAAAGGACACATTTTCCCAAAAGACTGACTAAGAGGAATTGTGTCCTAAAAAGATATCATTATACAAGTTGTTCCCTTCCCCACAGCAGTAACAGGTGTGGGAATCCATAAAGTCAGAGGGTTTTGGGAAAGCTGCAAAAGGCAGGCCTCAGAGACAGCAGAACTGGGATTAGAGCTAAGCAGTAGCTATAAGATTGGTCAGCAGAAAAATTATGCAAGAAGTAGAAGAGTAAGGACAAATAGAACAATGGTCTGTGTATTAACACTTGGCTAGAATAACTCCCTAAGCTGCAGAAAAGTTTAAATAGCAAGATTTTAGGAAGTTCTAAGCTTAATAATGGAGCTCTGTGCATTGTGTTTTAAGGCTTACAAACAGGTATTGTATTTGAAATAAGCAAGCATTATTTTAACCAAAGATACATGTGCTTATAGTGGTTGGATGGAACTACTCTCAATGTGCTTTTGCTTTGTGTGATTGGGCAAAAAACTTATAAAGTGAGTTGTAGCATTAAGTTCTTGGTCTGCTGCCTGGGATGTGAGCTGGTGGCATCTTCCCATTGCCATAACCATGGAATGAGGCTGATGCTGGAAAATAAACCAGCTCAAGGCACGTTCCCAGCATTGCTGTCCTGTTTGTGATTTGTACACAGCCCCCAGCTGGCGAACACAGAATATGTTCTGTCTTAGAAATATTCTACTGACCTGTTCTGGCACAGTTTGTTCCTCTTGGTAGCTGCAGGCTGAGGCCAGACAACGTGTGCAATGCCCACACTAATTGGCTGAGGGGCAGACAAGGTTATCTGATGTGTTAAAAGAGGCTGTGGTATCATTGAGCTGTAGTGGGTGCCCTGGGTAATCATCTTCCTGAGGAAAAGGAAAGGCAGGTTCATACTGCAGGTCTTTCTCACCAGCACCCCCACTCCTTGTGAAATCCCAGCCGCTGAGGTGTGGCACAAAAGCAGGACTCACCCCCATTCTCCAAGCCTCTGTGGGCCAGCCACAGGATCAGAGGGCAGAGATGTTGGTGGAGCTGCCACTGGTGCTACCTGCTGCCACGCAGGAACCAGGATCTGCTGCGTCTGGTTGGACCACGCCTGCTGGGGAGCACAGAGCTTTCATGGCACAGGCAACTCACTCAAGCTACACTTGCTGCTTGGAGCTCAGCACAGAGCAGCTCAAAACATTCACTAATTCAGTAAGGAAGAGTTTTGCTTTAAAGTAGGCCAACCTGAGAAAGGATTCCTGCTCGAATCTGTAGTGGCTGAATTGCGTGGGCTTGGGTCACCAGTGGGACTGCATTATCCACCCTCAGGGAGAAACTGGTGGGTTTGCTGTGGCTTGTAGGAATTCCTGGCAGGGAGAAAAACATACACAAGCTTTAGGCAAACAGCAGTCTTGCATGTATTTTGTGAGCAAACATAGAGGACAATTTTAAAACAGTTCACTGGTTTTTAAAATGTGTTTATGATCTAATTCCATAATTTAGACTTTCAAGCCAAACAAATTAACACCTAAAAGATTTTTGTGTCATAACTTATCTGCAGAAATATTTGAGCTGTAGTTTCCAGAAAGAACTGCCAAGAGTTACTAGCTGGAAACAGACTACTACAAGGAGGAATGACTTTGGCAGAAAGTTCTGCAGAGCTAAGCATTTACTCCTTATCACAAACTACATTAAAAGAATTTGAAGGGAAGCAGGCAAAACTAAGCAGAACTGCATTTCAAAGCTTCTCAGAATGGACTCCTGCACACCTCATGCTCTGTATTTCCAGCAGGCTGAAACACATTCTTCTCAGCTTTTATAGCTGGCAATGCCACATGTATAATGTCCCTCTTTGCTACCATCTCTTTGGTGGGAAACAATGTAAAATCTTCTGTCTACCTCATCAAATATTTGCAGTAGAATCCCATACTCCTATTCCTCTCTTCATCAAAACAATGCAAACTATAGTAAACCATAATCTAATAATCTATAATCTATAATATACAATATATAGTAAGTAATAAATATATAATATATATCATCTATAATCTATCATATATCATATAAAATATATATGATATATCATATAAAATATATATGATATATCATATAAAATATATATATGATATGTATAATATATATCATAAATTATATGTAATATATAATATATATAATGCAAACTGCTCACCAGAGCATAATACAAAAAAGATGCATCTCATGTCTTGTATAGATTTCATTATTGTTACAGGAAACTAACAAACCTATAGCAATGCTGCAATGTTTACTACAATAACATTTCTTTTACACAATAATGCCAAACTATAATGAAAGAGGAATTTTTCTTAACAGACATTGCAACAGAACAGCCATGCTTGAAGAAAATACTGGCTAGGAAATAGAAAAAGATATCCCTGGTCTCATCTTCTAACTGCACTTCATGCCTCGTGCTTTACTCAAAGATTAAGCAGGGGTGTTCACAGGTAACTACTAAGGAATTACTACACTGAAGTTTGTAAGTGATTTGGCTGGGTTTTTTTTAATCTTTACAGTAGAGGATGAAAGAAAGTTTTCATCTGATGCAATTCTCTCATGTCATAACACAATACTTGGTTATAACCACGCACTTCAAAGCTTTTCATTTTGAAATGCACTTGACTGATTTTTTTCCCCACAGCCATCTAGAAGAGAAGCATCTTAACTCTGACGGAAGTAGAGACTTTCAGCACTTCAGATACTCCACAGAGCAGCCAAGCTGGGAAACTTTGAGGCAGTGCCAGATACCATTAATATCCCTTTTCATCTGTGCCAGCAACTCGTCACCTATGTGATGAAAACAATATATCCCCTCCACTTCAGCTGTAGCAGAAATTAAATTTGGAAAGTTATCATCATATTAAGAATACAGTATACAAATCACAGATAAAGTGTCTGCTTGTGCTGGTTTTTTTTTTTCTATAAATCACTTTATTCATCTTGGAATAATGAAAACAATAGTGGGTTTTTTTATTATGGAGTATGTCATTGTGTAAAGAACATAAACAATTTAAACAATTAACTGCTCAGAAGGAAATCTGTGTGAAGCAGCCTGCGAATAGTCAGACCTTTCTCAAGTTTCTGGAACCCAAGGTAAATGCAGCTGCTACCAAAAATATTATTCATAAAGTCTGCAGTACCTGTCTTTATCTATAGAGATTAAGACTTCCTGGACTTTAAGTTAAGGTCGAATATTTCTGGTTTGTTTCATTTCAGAATGCATCTAGAGTGATTTCCGAAGCTTTAAAATGCAGAGGGAAAACTAAAGGTCATTCTTAAAAAAAACCCCTACTCCCTATAAATTCCATAACTTCAAGACCTATCTCAACACAAAGCTGAACATCACCAAGATAAATAAATTACATCTTTGGAACAAAGACTGTAATCAAGCTAAGTTAATAAGCAAACAATATAAACTGCCTTCCAATTTCCATAAATGACTATTACTAGGATAAGACATTGATACTCACTCCATCTCTCCTGTTTCCTCTCCAATTGTACTTCAGAACACCCTCCTTATTGCTTCTCCTTTCACACTTTTTTCTCCTATTTTACCCAAGACATAAAATTATCTCTGTGTGTGTGTAGTATATGAAGATGGGCTCTGGGTTGCTTAAATCATTTTCTGCAGATGCTGACTTGCTGTTTTTTTCAGAAAGATGCAACGAATCTGCATCTGACTCACACACTGATTTTTAATGGCATAATTAAGTTGGTTTAAATATAAACCTTAAGTGGATATAAGAGAAAACTCAAATATTGCTAACAGCCAGGCAGTAACACTCATATTTTAGGAACTGTGACAATTGCAGATAAATATACCTTGAATAGCTGGAGGACATATAATCAATGCTTGCTGGAAAACATCACTGCAACCAAACTGAGCAGTTCCTGCCTGCAGTGGAATCCCTTGGTGCAGAACTGAGTGGGCAGATGCAGTTAATGCCTATGGGAACAGATTCAACACAGGCAAGGTTGTTATGACTGTGAAACTACATCTCTCACACACTTGTCTCACCACTTTATACAGTAAATAACTAAAACAAACTTATAAAAATGAACGATTCAAATCCATTTCACAGGAAGACATCACACTGGGCCACTGGAGGGCACCAGAACACAGCACTGGCAACCCCAGCTTGTAAATTAATTTGGAACATATTCTAAATTATTTGTCTAAGAAAACATTAGGGGGAAAACAGAGTAAAAGACAGAAGATTTTACCACCTAACAGATGTAATTTTTTCAATTATTAAATTAATTAGAAAAACTACATCAATTAACTGACAATAAAAACAAAACAAAACAAAACCAAACCAAACCAAGAAAAACATGAACCATTGATTTTACCTGACTTCTCACTGGACCAATTTTGGAAAAGCTTGCAGTCAGGTTGGCTGCACTGCCTGAGGCAACTGATCTCATGAGTGATGTTTTATTGCAATTGCTTAAGTCATACAGGTTCGATCGGCATTTGCAAATATCCATGATATGAAAGCAGGACTTCACTCTGTCAGAACCAGAAAATAAGTTGCTTTAATCACCATTTCATGTTGTTGAAGGTAAAAAACAATTCCCCAAAATAAGGGGAAAAAAATTAGTTCAAACCCTCAATTTCTCAGTTTCACAGAACGGGATCATCCACACAGGTAGAAAAACAGAAACACTGTTGTTACTATGGTCACATCTCTGATGCATATTTTAAATTCAAGAAAAATACTGCTGTTTCTTTCTCTTTCCATCTAACAGCTGTTTACACCATTTTCTAACAGCTGTTTACAAACAGGAAAGATAGGAAATTAAATAGATGGGAAAAGCTTGCTCTTTCAGTGAAATGCTTGCAACTTTAGGAAATCCACGGTGAAGTATACAACTCCAGAACTGCAAGAAAAGTTTCAATATATTCCACATTAACCAATACATGAAAGGAAGTATTTGAGATGTTAACTTCAAGAGGAAATGCCCACCCTAGCCCTCAATGACTGATAGCAATTAGGGCTCCTCACACTTCCAAAAATCCCACCCAAGTTTCTGCAGTGCTGGAATTTTAACAATCATACATAAAACCAACTTAGGAACCTATTGCCCTAACTGTAACTTTCAGAGAGAAACATAGTAATTCAAGCAGTTTCCTTGACCCAACAGATGTATCTAATACTGCAAGCACTTGAAAGAATTTTCTAAGACGCTGCAATAATGATGAAAGATTTCTTTTTCTCTCTGATAGCAGAACAAACAACATTTTTATACAAACGAATTGCAACAGGAGAGATTTCTATGTTACATACTGGTTGCTATGAGGAAAATCGAGGAGGTGCTTCATGGTAACAAAAGAATGGTTCAGGGTCTCAGCTGGAGTGATTCTTAAATCAGCATCGATAAGCAACATTTTCTTCAACAGACTGACAAATTCCCTCCTATCTGCCTTCTCTGCCAACAGGTCACTTCCTTCCAAATCCATCACCATGTTCACCTGGCACAGAACAAAACAGTCAGACAGAAGATGTGCATATTAATTTAACTCTTCCTGGTACTGTTTTCTGCTATAAAATACTAATATTCAGCATTTTTATCACGTGGGGTATGGTGGATTTGTCTTAACCCAAAACAGCTGGCTTGGAATTGGTGACTTTTTTTAAGCATGCACACTACTCCCCCCTTGCAACCTCCCCAGTTAAAAACTGCTGAAGGCTTTATTCCGGTCTGGGACTTGCAATTTAAGAAGTAAGATTTGGAATAAAGATCTTTTTATGGTCTAACTTGAACTACAGAGTTGATCTTCAAAAAACAATTTAAAGCACATATTAATGCCAACCTTGCAACAAGATCTGATCCTTTTTTCAGGATGTGAAAGACAACAAAAAATTGCTTTTTCTTATTGACTAGAGAGGCAGAAAGCTAAAGAAAAGTGAGGAAACAGTTATGTTTTTAAAAACAAAATTTAAGAAACTACACTTAGAATTCTACTGTTAACAGAATTATACTAGAAATCAAACAATAAACAAAGCAGGTTCCATATGCATTCTTTGTTTATTCTTTGCCACAGTGGCAGATAAGGTAGAAGAGAAAGTATACATTTTACACAAAATTCAAGGGCTCCCCCACCACAAGGACAAGTTCCACTGTTTAACACAAGCAATAGAAAAGGAAGATCTTTACTAAAACTCAAAGGGCTGAAAGAGCCAGACATTTTCCTCAGAGCAGCAGAGAAGAGTGAATATGACTGAGGCACAATAAATAATATTCTAAAAGGCATTTCTTTCCAAAGCAGTAAAATGTTTTCAAATCACCAGTCATTCCCACATATTCCTTCTGCAGAGGAAGGAGGCTTTAATACTCACGTGCACTATATCATCCAAACTGTTGAAAATATACTTTCTGGCCTCTTTAGACTTCATACCTGTTTCTGCCTCGTGTTCTTCCAATGTCTCAACAAAAAGAGAAGGAAAGCTTATTTTAGAATCTGTCAAAAAAGGTCACCTATAACTACAAAGTGACTTTATGTACTTATTGACTTAAAAACCACTATTTTTTCCCACATTATTAGTATATCAGTTATATATTTGTATGTTGCTTTACAGACTACTTCCATTCTCTAAATCAAAAGACAATAACTAGAATGTTTTACATCTGACAAATCACAGTACGGGATTACAACAGTTTATGAATCACACAGGAAGTGCTGAAAGCCTAGCATAGAGCAGTTTCATGAAACTCCTGTATTTTTATGTATCACAGCTTTTCTATTATTGTATTTTACCAATTTTCTCCAACTCAGACCTTAAACCTCAAGCAGCAGCAATATCACATCACTGTGAAAGAAATAAACCAAAAACCAGGCAGTATCTGGTTCAACTTCTTGGTTTCCTCTTTTCTTTTTTTATTATTATGTTTATTCCTATTTTTTATTATTATATTATTAATAACATTGTTATATTTATTTATAGTTATATTTATTTTTATTATTATATTTATTCCTCCACATACACATCAAATGGTGTAAATATTCTAAATACTTCAGTATGAAACAAAAACACCCTAGAGAATGAATGGTATAGTACCTTCTGTTACAATTTTCCTTCCTCAACACAGACAGTAGGTGCTGCAAGAGGCAAGGTGGGACTTCAGGGAAAAAGCTTTTAACACACAGAATACAGAAAAGCTTCCAAAATGAACTTTGACAAAAACTGCAAGTAATGAGCAACTGCCCATACCAAAGCCCCTAATTAACCTCTGCAAGGTAACAAGGAGCTCCTGGAAGCGAGGAGGGCTTTTGGCACCAAGAACTTGCTCTGACACGGAGAAGGCAGATGTAAAGTGTCACCTAAAGCCCAAGTGCTTGAGCAAGCAGAGGGAGGGATTAACCAGGTGTGGGTGTAATTGCAGAAATGTTACATAACCCCAGAGCTGCTGGGGATTTACCAACTTGCTGGGGGGATCTTATGCAATGGGAGCTGGCAGCTGTTTGTTCCTGCAGAGATCCCTGTCAGCCCCAAGTGCTGCCCGAGCCCTCTGCAAACCCAGCGAAGCCATGGGCCATGGAGAAACACAATTTTTTAATAAAGTAAATTATTTGTGTGGGAAGCAAAGGCACTGCTCATGGCAATAATGTTGCTCAGAGAGAAGCAAGGTGTGCAGAATACAAAAGTACATTTTGTTTTAACTTTGTCTGCACCCATTGTATTGCAGCTTTCAGCCAACAAAGGCTGGTTTAGCAGGAGATCTAAAAGAAATGAGCTGTATACACAGCCGTGTTATTTCTTAATCTCCTTTTTCCTGTTAGGAACTTCTGATCCTGAAGCCAGTTCTGGACAAATCTTGTCAGAGCAGTGTGGGCCTCAGAGACAAATTCCTTACATGAAGTGAAAAGCAGGAACAGAGCAAAAAAGAGAAGAAAACAAACCAAACACATTCATTGAGCACCTCTGGAGATACAAGGCTTAATCTGAATTCCCCACCTGGCCACAGCACAGCCTGGCAGCTGCACCTTGGGGGACAGAAAAAATGGAAGGGATAAAGAGCAGGAGCTGCTAAAAACCACAGGAGATGCACCAGGGACAGAATGGTCTTGTAGTGAATCTTGGCTTCTCTCCTTTGTCTGCTCACAGAATATTGTGCTGTTTTTTACTACATTACACTGTTTACCTTTAATCTCCAACTAGAATATGGTGCATCTGTTTCTCTACAGAAAAATCTTGCAGTTTTCGTTCCCATGCTTAACAACTGCTCTCCTGGCAAACCTTGAGTCTGTGAAATATAACGAATCTGAGGAAAAAACACAACAGGGAAAAGCATTTACCTCTTGTTTTCAAAACGTGATCCCCACACAGTTAAAAACTTGTAATTTCATTGGAGAAATGACAAAACGAACCATGCTCAGAGATCCATGGGTACATCTTACAGAGGGGAGAAGCCTAACCCTGAGCACTTGGCACTGCTCTCTCCATCTCTAGAGAAAGCCATACACAAACCAACCTCTTGGGTGACCTATATAAGCAAGCTTTTTGGGTTGGTTCACAGTACAGGGAGCTGGGGAGAGTGGCTGCCATTGCCTCCTCAACCCACTCAAATCCTAAATGTATTTTTTTCGTTCTAAACAGGAAAATCAGTAGGAGTATTTTGTTTGCTTACAGAATTTCCATGGGTTTTTTTTTTTTGGCCTGTTCTCATTATGTAACTAGATAAAAATCCTTCCCATTTGCTGTTTCCAGTGTATCAGTCTTTTACACATCTGACACACCTGCATTTCAAGGAAACATTCCATGTGGAAAGGGAGTGTCTGTACAAGCTCCAGGCAGCAAAAGATAGTGTTGTTGTCCAAGAAAATCTGCTACTGAATGGACTGGCTTTATGCCTGAAAAAAACCTGGCTCTGAAATGATCAAAATGCATTTATTTTAGATTATTTACTATGCATTTTGCATTACCTATCATAGCTGGTGATCATATGATTGCCCAGAAAAGTTAACTTTCAAGGCTTCAACAGAAATCTGTTGAAAGATGATGTGTTTTAACTACTGGGCATGCAACTCACTCTACAAGGGGGGAGTTATCCCAGAGGCAGCATTGCTTCCAAAATTAAAAAACCACCTTGGAATTGGAAGCATAATTGGCAATAATTGAAAACCAAGCTCGCTGCAGGTCAGGATGGAGAGGATACTGAATTTCTGAAGGGCAGGGTCCCACAGCACAGAGGGGCTGATGGGGTGAGCCAGCCCCTGGAAAAGGAGCAGCAGCCAGGGAACAAGAGAGAAGAAAGGGAAAAAAATCAAAAGGAGGGAGTGGCCAAATACACCAAATCAGAAACTGAGAGATGAGAAGATGAAGTCAATGGAAGAGAGAGGACTTGAGAGATGGGAGCAGCAGGGAGGAGAAAAACTGATGGGCAGTAAAGAGTAAAAGGAACATGAGAGGCTTCTGCTGAAAAGTGACAGACCCAAGTGGGGAGGGACTGAACACAGTTTCTGGGGTTTAGTATCCTCCATAACTCCCAGCCTCAGGGAATAAGGAGTAACATTTGACCAGAGATGTTTCTAGACCATTTATAATGTCCTCAGAAAACAAAGAATCTTAAAAAGTAGAGGGGAAAAGCCAGTGCATTAATTCAAAAATTGAGCAGTTAAGGGCTTGTGCCTGTTTCTAATGAGCATTAAAGCTCAGAAGCCAGGGCTGTTTTCCTCTGAGAAACACAGCTGTTACTGCTTCTAACCACAAATGAATGGAAGGACCAAGAGCTCCCTTTCAAGGGCCAGTGTGTTGGCTGCCACACACCAGGGGGACAGGGGGGAAACGCAGCACAAAGCCTGTTTGTTTACTCAGTGACACACACCACGTAGCAGGAGGACAGGAATTCCCTTGGAAGCCATCTCCTGCTCCTGCTGCACTCATGGATACTGAGGAAAACCCTGAATCCATTTTCTCCAAGCGAGTTTTGCAGGGCTGCTGGAGCACAGTTACAGCAAGGCAATTCCTGATGGTGCAGAGGAGGTTGCAGCCCCTGTTCCACCACAACTTCTCCAACATGAGGGTCAGGCAAGTTGCTAAATGAGGCCTCCAGCAAACTTGAATGATATATAAGAGGTAAATAAACTTGCTGTGTTTATGAAAATTTTTGAGAGAGCGTTATAGTTTCTTTCCAAAAAACAAAATGCCCTCACTTTATCCTTAAAAAGAACAGTGAGTTATATGGGTTGTTAGATGTTTCCTCTTTTATTTTCCATTTTAACAGCAGTAGTCTACAAAAAGGTCTTCTAAATGCTCAAAGCATCAACCCATATTCCATTCATAGCTCACTTCCCCATGTGAAATGCTGAGCTTCGTGTAAATGAAGGAAACTGAAATAGAAACATTACCAACATCAACACAAAATTAATATATCCCCTGAAAATGGTTCTAGCAAACAGATTTTCAGAAAAGTAGGTCTGATCTGTCAGTGCAGGAAGCCAAAAGCCCACTTCATGAGCAGGACTTGAATAACCTCAACAACATGCTCTGAACTAAATGCTGAATCCAAGACCAGAACTTAGCAAGAAGCCAGTGCTGCTCCTTCTGGGGTTTTCAAGAGATTGCTTCACTTGCAAAGTTTAAAACCAGGTGGGCATGCTCAGGATGCTGACTGCATTCCTCCCAAATCCCACATTATTTTCTAAGTGTTTAAAATAAAAATGTTCTACATCTTTCATGAGAAACAACATGGAGTTTTATGAAGTTTGCTCACTAATGCTCATGGTGTCAGCACTGAAAACTCCAACAAAGCAAGGGCAGAGCTTCAAGAGCTCCAAGCTTTACCCCTGCCTAGCTACAGTATGATTGTGACAGTTCATTCTTGTTCCTCATGAAGTACAGGCTCTCAAATCCTTGAGCTTTGTTGGATTTCCAGAAAGCATCAGAAAGTATTCAGAGCACAATTAATCCTGACATCTGAATAGACATTCCAGAGTCAACCCTGTTCATGGCAAATGAAAGAGAGATTATAATGCAGCGATGGTAGCTGCAAATTTTGCTTTCCATCATCATCTATTTCATAAGATGGAGGGGAGAGGACAAATGGAAACTATTAAAAAAAAAAAGGCACAATATACAGTCTGGGTCAGAATCAGGATTTATGTTTCTAGGACAATCAATAAGGCTACATTAAAAGCATTGAACAGACTTGAAGAAATGCTACATAATAGGGGATACTATTAGCATTTAAAATTCTGTATTTAATGACCTGAAAGTCTTAAGCTGCAGAAAGTGCACATATGCTTGTGAAATTTATTCTACTACCTGGTCATATTCCAGTGCTCCTGGGTACAGTGGCCATCCAAGAAAGAGCTCTGCAATCACACACCCTAACGACCACATGTCTATGGCTTCACAAAACGGCAATCCCAGTATGATCTCTGGTGCTCTGCAAATCAAACATGGTTACTGAGGCTTTTTCCTTGGGGAAGAAACAATTCATTCAACAATCCAACATGACAAACAAAAAAAAAAAACCCGAAAAACAAAAACCAAATCTGTTTCTTGATAATTATTTCAGTAAAATCACAGCATTAGAAATTGCATTTTTACTTATCTAAGTAACCTGTGCTAGTATTTTGCAGCTCTGAGATGTTTTTTTCCTGCAAGTACCAGTTTGCTATATACATGAAAATAACTGATATGCCTAGAAAACAGAATATCCCTGATTCAGAACTTTTCCCTTTGCTCCAGTATGTCTCAAATGAGTTGTCCACTCAATGTCATATGTCTGTAACTATATTCCAAACACATCAGTCTTTCATCTCAAAAAAAAACCCAACTAGAAGTTCTATCTGAAAATCCACTTGCACACTTCTCAACTGTACAGTACAGTTAAAGCTATTTAAAATATCAATTTAATTATCTAACTGCAAATCCCTTAATGTACTCAAATTGAATGTGATCAATTTTTAAATCACTTAAATAAAAGCACTGCATTTGCTAAACAGAGCAGGTGTTATTTTTCACCTAAAACAAATGTGAATTATTTAACCAACACCATCTGAATTTATGTCTCCACTCAAGAACCAGAAAAATTGGTATTGACACAGCTGCTAAAGGGGCTTTTAACATCTCTGTTCACGTGGAATGGAACTCAAGTATTGCACAAATATCCATTTTCATTGTATTTGTCCTTTTAAAACCTTCCCTCCCAGCTCATTCAAGCTATTAACAAAAGGAAAAAGAATGAATTTATCTCTGCATTCTAACATGGAAAGACGCCTGGAGATGTAAAATATTATTTCAAGCATCACACTAGGAAGGGATCCACTTTTAAAGCAGACAAGCTGTTGTTTGCTCAGCATGCCACAGGAGAGAGGAAGGTGGTTAAAACCAAGAGGGTAATTCTCAATGCATCTGGGCAGAACGGGAGCATCCAGCTGACCAGGAAATGTGGGATTTCTCACCTGGGGAAAAGCTCACCAATCTCATGCTTCAGCACATCCTGACACAGTCTACTGACATTCCACACACAAAACAGACGCTGATCATAGTAGAGACCTACATATCTCATTCTCCTCTGACATTTATCCTTATCAAAATATTCTTTAATTTAATGACATGGACTGGATTGGGAACAAATTCCTATTTTTATGCTACACTGGGACAGAGAAGCTATCTTGTAGCTGTAGAGCAGACCAAGAGCTGAAGCATCTCCATCCCCTTTCACAAGGAGTAGTTGGTAGAAGCTGTACACAGACACATTTCAAGCTCCAAGGATGAATGTTCACCACCAGGGAAAGGACTCCCAATGCTCTGCCCCATCTCTGACCAGCGAAGCCATTCAGGCTTCTGCCACAGGGAAAACCCAACACTTTAGATGAGAAAATCTATAGAACAGGATATTCTGTTAAATAATTACGTACTTTCCATTCATGCTGGCACTTCAGTTCTCCCCATCCTTGCCACAAACCATTTTGGATGCGATTCTATGAAGGCTAAATCTTGTCACGCTGGCAGCGAAACTGGAGAGGCTCAGTTTTCCACTGCCCCCAAAGATTTGACTACAATAAACTTCTGGGGATCAAACATATGTATTTTTGCAATGCAGGATCCTGGCACTGCAGTAAGTCTTAGCTAGTTTCATTATCCAAGAAATCAATTCAACATCTCTGGATGCCACAAGACAGAAATAGCAGCGAGCAGCGTTTGCCTTTCCCCCTGGCTGGGTGCCAGGCTGCCTATGGTTGTCACAGATCTCTGTTAAAATACACTTCCTTTTGTTGTATTGTGTTACAGCCCTGAATAGTTAATGAACATACACACAGCCTATGGATACAGGGGCTTTAACAAATGCTTCTGCTAAAATAAGCTCTGTAAAACCTCTTAGGTTTACTCAATGGTTAATATGTGCGCCGCGCAAAAATAGCCGCAGTCCGTCGGTCTGGCTGTCCCTGTGGAGAGACAGGATCCCAAAGGAGAGAAGGATGAGGGGAGACCAAGCCAAAAAAAAAAAAAAAAAAAAAAAAAAAGACAGAATACTTGCTGTGTTCCAAAACACAGTAATCTGGTAGTTTTTTCCACCAAGAAAAGCAGTAGTAAGTACTTCAAAGGAAAAGGGAGGTATTTCAGGAGAGGGGAAGCGCTCCTCGCTTGCCAACACCAGACCTGCCATCCAGAAAGAAGAGGAAATCAATGTGCTCCTGAGCACAGCTACCTGCACCCTTCCACAAAAAAAGATTTTCAGGCCAGCTTGAAGAGAGGAAGATGAAGAGCTGCTGCTCTTTCAGGCACCTACCATGCTAGTCCTTAAAATGGAGCCACTTCCTCACAGCAAATTCTTTCTCACAGCAAATTAAGTTGCAGCAAAACTGTAACTGAGTTTGATTATGTTTGGAGTGGTCTTAACCAGCTCAAATATTTTTGTTAAACAAAAGTTTGTTAATGTCATGCTCAAAAACACCTGCTTCTGTTTCTCCTTCTTTTAAAGTTCCTGTTAAAAATCTGTCTGGAGAGCTGGAGAGAAAAGTGTTAAAGCAGTGAGAATTATTCTTCAATTTTTGTTTTTAGGACGACCCACAGCTGTTTTCTCCTATAAGGAATATTTCACCATGCACCTCAAAAGGAAGATACTCCCTTTCCTAACTACAAGCATAGACAGGAGAGGGGTAGGAACTGCAGATGTCCCAACAGCCCCTTTACCATCACATTACTCAAAAAACAGTGTAACTAAGTATTTCTCTCTCTCAAAACAGCACCACATGCTCAAAAAAACACACACACTCCTGCTTGGATTTTTACTGCAGATCACAAGAAGTTCAGCGCACCAGAAGACACCACAGTCTCCACCTGAGCAAACAGCACCTGTTATCCCATCCCAAGACATCAAGGAGAACACCAGAATTTTCTAAACTTCTTAAGGACACTGAATCTTACTTAAATGCACTTAAATTAAAAGCAAGATTTTAGAGAGAAAGCACCTATTTCCTTCTTGCCAGTGTTAATTAAACATTAATTTAAAACATTGTCATAAAACACAGCTTGGACTTTACAATTAGAAAGATCTAAAAAGATGAAAGGCAAATGAATACCTGTTTCAGCTGCTTGTTTGGATAGCCACATTTCCATTTATTACATCACAGATCATAAACACATATACTATCCTATAACTTTTTATAAGCTTGTGAGCAAAGAAATCACACAATTTGTTCCATTAACTTGTTCAAAGACCAGAATATTTCATAAAATAGTTTAGCTTCAGCATGTTAGCCAGCTTGGAATAAAGCAACAAAATTAACAAATTTGAAGAAAAATGAGATAGTTCCTTGATGGAGGATTAAAAAAATTTTTACAAATAAAAACAAACTCCAAGCAAAAACTTGCTAAAAAAAAATCAAAACTGCAGCATAGTAACAGAAAATTTCTCACAAACCTTACACTCAGGGAACAAAGAATGAAGAGCAAGTATTACCCATACTACAAAAATAAGTAATAAAAAAATCTGTAAGAGGTCAAACCATTTCAGATGACCATCACCTATGAATGGCTGGTTAGAAATCCAATTTAGAACAGAAGTTACACGAAAAAGCTAAACCCCAACAGTGTTTGTACAAAGTAACAACTGAAGAACAGCACAAGACAATGAGAACAGCAGCTTCCCTTTTTCGCTTTCAGGAAAAATTCAGTTGAATGCAGGAATAATTTCTCAAATATGTTCCCACTGAAGATTCTACAACACAGTCACACTACACATACCCCCTCAGAGATCAAGGAAGTGAGACTAAAGGTTGAGCAATTTTTATTTCTATTTTCTTTGGCAGCGTGGGAGGGTCAATGTATCAACTGTGGATCACAGCACTGCCTTGTTTACCTGCTGCTCTCCAGTTTGGAAATAGCCTTCCTCCCCTCAAACTTTACTACCAAACTCTACTATCTCTATTTACCACTGTGCTGACAATGCCTATTAATTACCTACTCTGGTCACAACAACAATGACAGAAATACTAATGCAAGGAAGCCATCAAAAGGGTGGGATGTTTATAATTTTTTTTTTTTTATTAATGACCTGTTGAAAGCCCTGGTATAGACCACTCATGTAAATGAATCCAGTTTGCAAGAGTTAAAGTCAAACCAGATTAGCAGCCCGAGTAAAACCAGTCTTTGCCCCTGGTGCCATCATGAGCACAATGCAAGCACATTCCTCCTGAAAGGAATAACCACACATGGCCTGTGAGATGCACAACTCCTCTCCTAAAGAAAGGAAGCCTAGGAGAAGGAGCAGATGCAGTGAGTGAGTTAATGAGAGATGGCAGTGGGCATCCTGATGAGTTTTCTCATGTGCAATTCACTCCCTTCAACTAGCAGCGTTCGCCACGTGCATGAAGGAATGCAAACCTTTCTTCAAGATCTGCAAGGACACAGGAAAGACTCTCGGCTGGAGGGGTCAAAATCAAGAAAACACCCAGAAAAAACTTCGAGGCAAGTACAGCTCAGTAATCTGAAGGATGAAATGGGAAGGAATCATGTAATGACAAAACCTGGAAATGATGAAGGGTACAAAGATCAGCTGGCTCTGTAGTGGATTCGTGATGGCCTTCAGAAGGAATTTCAAATATGCAATTACATCAACACAAAAACACGAGGTAGAGTATACATGGTGTAGAGTAAAACCATTGCGAAACTTAATGTACCATATTCATTAATTACCGAGAAGAAATTATGTTATAAATTAACCAACTTTCCAATGAAAAGTCTAGACAACTTTACAGATTACTCAAGAAAAATCTTTTACAATTGGGAGCAAAAATAATCAGGATATCAGCATTTATTTTTAAAGGACAAAGACATATAAAAAATATTATGCCTTATATAAAACTAGTGATATTCCCTCACCTTGAATAGTGTGTGTTCAGTTTTGAATTCTGGGTTCAGTTTTGGTCACCCCCA